CCCTAAGCCTTCTCGGCCGACGTGCCCGTGGCCAGTGGGTGATAAGCTGCCGCAGAGGCCGTGGGGCACCCGGGCACAGCAGTGCAGAGTTTCGGGCCCTTTGCCTCGGCTCTTCGCCCGAGCGCGTGCTGCCCGGGCAGTCAATCTGCCCTCTCGGCCTCCATTCGTGGCCTGAGGGTCACAAGCTGCCGCAGACAGGGCGGAGTATGGCGGAGTACGGAAGCAGAGCTGCGGCGGTCTGTCGCCGTTGCTCTTTTGATCGTCCTCGACAGAGGCCTGCGCCATTCCGCCGACCCCCGAATTGACAGATTCGCGAGGTTGACCCGGGACGCCATGAGGGACGAGGACAGGGGGTGGGGGAGGGGCAGGACAGGGGGGAAGGCAAGGAGGAATATGACCAGGAGAAGAAGGGAAGGGGGGTGATTGAGGGGCAGGGAGGGTATGGGTTCCTGGGATTTCAGCCCTTGGGCTCGTGACGTTGGCGGCGCGCTTTCGCTGACGTCCGTGAGCAGCTGGTGTAGCTATGATGTAGGCATCCGAGCTCCTCACATTCGGGGCGTTGCTCCGAGGAGTGTCGCGAAGCACTCCCAGAGACAGCATTCCTTGATAAGCTGCCGCAGAGTCCGTGGGGCACCCGGTGCAGCAGCGCAGAATTTTTGGGCTCTTTGCGTCGGCGGCGGTGTTCCGAAGCGGTGCTCTTGTGATTGTTCTCGACAGCGCCCATATTGACCCTACGCAGAGGCCTGCTCTAATCCACCGAACCATCAGATTCGTAAGGTAGACCTGGGATACTTTAAAAGGGGTGCTGAGAGGCGAGGATATGAGGGGAAGGGTGGTACTGATGATGCTGATTATGATGAGGATGAGGATGATGAGGAAGAGGATGATGATGCTGATGATGATGCTGCTGATGATGATGCTGATGATGATGACGAGGATGATGGTCATGGTTTGTGGTGATGGTGATGATGCTGATGAAGAAGAGGGTGGAGACGATGACAAGGGCGACGAATATTAGGATGGTATTGATGATCATGATCATGGTGATGATGATTATGATGCTGATGAGAATTATGATGATGCTGATGGTGATGGTGATGGTGTTTGTGGTAATGATGATGATGGTGGTGATACTGATGATGCTGGTGATAATGATGATGATGATGATGATGGTGGTGGTGATGATGATCACGATGACAGTGGTCATTTTGATGATGGTGCTGCTGATGATGCTGATGCTCATGATGGTGAGCTGGTGAGATGAGGATGGTGAGGATTATAATGCCATGATAGGAAATGATGATGATTATGATGATGATTTTGATTGTGATGATTATGATGATGAAGCTGAGAATCATTATGATACTGATGATGCTGCTGATGATGATGCTGATTCTGATGCTGATGGTGATGATGTTGGTGATGACGTTGACGACGACGACCACGACGACGATGATGACGACGACGATGATGATGATGGTGGTTGTGGATGTGGTGATGATGACGATGCTAATGACGGTGGCGATGATGATGACTGCGATGATGATGCTGATGATGATGATGCTGTTGTTGATGATGCTGATTATGAGGAAGACGACGGCGAAGGTGGTGGTGGTGGTGGTGATGTTACTGATGATGATATGGTCAGATGGTGAGATGTTGATGGTGTTGGGTATTCTGTTTTTTGATGATTACGATGATGACGGTGATGGTGATGATGATGATGATGACGACGATGATGATGGTGTTGATGGCGTGATTGGATTTTGATGTTGCTGATGCATATGATGATGACGATGACGTTCACGACGACGATAGCGATGGTGATGAGGATGATGAGGATGTTGATGACGATGATGCCGATGATGATGGTGATGATGCTGCTGACGATGTTGATGATGTTGATGGTGATGATGGCGATGGTGATGATGCTGATTATGATGGTACTAATGATGATGACGATGATGCTGCTGCTGATGATGATGTTGGAGGTGATGATGCTACTGTTGATGATGCTGTTGCTGATGATGATGCTGATGGTGGCGATGATGATGACGATTACGATGACTATGACGATGATGCTGATGCTGCTGATGATGATGAGGAGGATGATGATAATGCTGATGATGACGAACATGCTGATGCTGATGATGATGATGCTCATGCTGATGCTCATGCTCATGCTGCTGCTGCTGATGATAATGACGCTGAGGATGATGACGACGATGATGATGCTGCTGAGTACGATGATGAAGAAGACTACTAATAATGTGTTGATAATGATGTCGATGCTGATGCTGCTGCTGTTGTTGCTGCTGCTGATGATGATGATGTTGCTGATGGAAGAGGAGGTGGAGGAGGTGGTGGATGAGGAGGATGCGGAGGAGGAGAAGAATGAGCAGTGGGAGGAGGAATAGGAGCACGACGAGGACGGGGAACTGAAGGGGAGGGTAATGTGGGGAAGGGGAAACAATGGCAATGTGCAGAGAAAGGGGAATGAGGCTTGTGGATGGTGAGAGGCAGGAATATGAGGAAGGCAAGCAGGAGGGGCAGGAGGCGTGAATTCTTGGGGGGTGAGCCCGTTGTGTGGTACGTGGGCGGTAAGCAGGCCCACTGTAACGCACGCTTGCCCCGAGTCTTTGAGACCCTGGTATGGCAACGCAGGGATCTGCACTCCTTCACTTCGGGGCCTTGCTCCGAAGCTCTGCGAAGTGTTCCCAGAGAAAGTACTTCCTAAGTCTTCTCGGCCGACATGCCCGTGGCCAGTGGGTGATAAGTTGCCGCAGAGCGTGTGGTGCACCTGGTTCAGTGGTGCATCGATTCGAGCTCTTTCAGTTCCCACTGGCGCTCCGAGCATCTGCTGAGCCTTGCCTGGGCTCTGGAGCGCAGATCCGGGATCTACCTCGCCCCCTGCCCGCTCCGGGTCTTGCCTCCCCCGCCGCTGCGTTCTCCAGCAGGCGTACGGGGTGTGGAACCAGCGCCAGGCCTTCGTGCCGCCCGTGCACGCGAAGTCGGAGGACAGCGTGCCGTCTGCATCCGCTGCTCCCCGAGGGCGGCCCGCGCTGCGTCGGCAAGGCGAGGGAGTCAGGGAGTGCATAGGGCCGTCGGAAGGCCGAACAGAAGGAAATGCCAAATCTTTCGACAACCTCAGGACAGCCAATGATTTTGGCCTCTTCGGGCCTTCTGGAGGACCTTTTTTAGGCATCTGCGGCCGTCTTGGAGACCTCTTGGGGGCCTCTTGGGGTGCTATGGAGGGAGGAAGAGAGGGAGGAGGAAGGTGGAGGGGGGGGGGAAGGGGCAGGGGGGGGGGGAAGGCAAAGCAGTGGGAGAGGACGGTTGGGTCGGGGGTGAGGGCCAGGCGAGAGGGGACACGGACCCGAGCGGAGGGAGCGGGAGGGCGGAGCCCGGGGAGGAAAAGAGCGGAGCGAAGTTCTAGCCGGTCTTATCCTTGTACGTTTTACCCTCGGGGGGTAGTCGAAGGCCAGACTTTCAGATTGGATTGGGCCCCAAGGGCCAATCTGGCCTGGCCAAACTGGATGATTTGGGTCATTCGCCAGACTGGATTCGCGTCGGCTCCCTCGCCAGATTGCCCCCGTTTGCCAGATTGGGCCTGCCAGATTGGCGCCAGATTGGCTTCGACTACCCAGCCTCGGGGGTGGGTCCTTGTCGCCGCGGCCGAACGTGGCTCGAGAATGTCGCCATGCTTGTCGTCTGGAGCGCTCGGGGGCTGGAGCGAATCGTGCCGGGAACGGCGATCCAAACGTGGAGACCTCATCGCATTTGGGGTTCCCCGAGAGCTCGAGTGCGCGTGAAGGGCGCGCGCGCGCGAAGGTTCGAGTCATACGACGGTGGCAGCCCTCAGGAGGGGAAAAACACACACAGACACACTCAATCGTCGAGTCCCAGGGAAATATGGGAAAATATGGGAAGTGGCAGGGGAAGACAAAATCCCAGAAGATACAGGAAGATGTGGGGCACATTTTTATTTGTGTGCATTTATTTGTGTGTCTTTGGGCCCCTTCAAGCCCGGAGGCCCATGGCCAGCACCGCGAAAAAAGGCGGAGGCCATGCGCGGCGCCTCCAGCCCGGGAGGCCTGCGCGGCATCGCATCAGGCCCCTCGCCGAGCGGCGACTTTCGAACTCAGTGTGGGACACCCTAAAACGACGCGAAGATCGGGACAAAATCGGATCGGGATAGCTCGAAATCTCCGAGAGCCGGCGGGTTTGGAGGATGTATTGGGCGCCGCGGCCGCTCCAGAGCGTTCCAGAACGCTCTGAGAGCGCTCCGGAACGCTCTGGAGCGATGTATCCCGATCCTAGCCCTGTTTTACACCAGGTCTTGTGTGAGTGTGCCTGTTCGGAGCAAACGTCGGCTCGAGACGAGACAAACATCCGCAAGTCGAAGGCGCTCAAGCAGCACAGTAAGATGGTGCCGACCACGTTCGAAATGGGAGTAGTCAGCACGTGTTCAAAGCGGAAAGGGCCTTGTTTCTTTCGTCTTCCAAGCCGCTTCCGCCGCGGCGTTGTCCAGCGACGGTGCTCGTCTCGAGTCCGATCTCGCATGCGCCCGCCTTGGTGGGCTCAGGAGCAGCAGACCCGCATCCGAGGGGTGTTGGGCAAGTCCTTCCTGTTCAATAGCCTGGAGGCCCTTGTGTGGTGTCGCGCTTCCCTGTTCACCGATGCTTCATCGAACCGTTTTCACTTCCTGCTTCCACTTTCGCTTCTGCTGCGACTTCTGCTTTGTGAATGTCTAGGCCTTTTTGTCTCTGACTCCATGTCTCAACTTATGCCTTTGCCTTTGTGTCTTCCCGTTCCTTTTCCTGTGGGGGCTTGCTTCTGTCCGTGACAGCTTATCTATGACTGCGTCTGTCAGTGCACCCGCCTTCTCTCTTTTCTGTATGTTTGCCAGTCTGTCTGCAGGTCAGTCGGTGTCTGTGGCTGGCTGGCTGCTTGTCCTGCCCTGTGCCATCCTGGTCCCAGTTTTGGACCTGGTCCGGCCTCTCTCCGTGTCGACGGCACACGGACACGTACCATCGAGCAGGCAGTTGACGTCCTGGAAGCTCCAGCTATCTGGACACGTTCCTCGCGCTCCACGTGGCCACCCGCTGAGGACCGACTCCTCTGTTCCGAGCATCGCGCGGCCACTCACGGACAGGTACGTCAGGCGCATCGGTCGCCCGTACAAGGAGTTCGTCCCAAACTTGCTCGGGCATGTGCGTCGTATACTCAACTGTCGCGGCGCACGCGCCGGCAGCCGGGACCAGTAATCAATGCAAGCAGTGTTTTGTGTTTCCATACGAGCCCTTGCCCACGGACCGCATTGTCATGGCATGTCTGTCTCTTTCCATGCTGAGGAGCAGTAGGGGTACACCCGCTGACTAGATGCGAGTGCCCCGTCGCGTCCTGTCTTGTCTTGTTCCGTCCCTTCATTTCCTGTGCACGTGCGAGTGCGCGCGCACCCCCACAATGCGCGGCATACACTTCCTCGCCTCCCCCCTTCGGACCTCGTCGCATCCAGATCCTCCAGGCATGGCTGGCTTCAGTCCCTGGCGAGAGTGTCTCCAAGGTATGTCCCCTCGAGAGCGTCTCCGCTGCGCCACCCGTAGTTCACTATGGGCGAGCGTGCGCAGCCTGCTCCTTCTCTCTCTCTCTCTCTTGTCCGCCTTGCTTGTCCTGTCTTTGCCCCCCATCGCACGGTGCCACGCTCATTGGTCGCTCCGAGGCGTCGGACCCCGCGAGGATGCCGCGCAACACGCTGCCGAGCCAGAGGTGTGCGCGTGCACGTGTGAGCGTGCGCGCGCCTGTGAGTCTGCGTCCGGGAGCTCGTAGTTCCCAGTGCCTGCGGACTGTAGTCGTATGCTGGGGGCCTTCTGGCATTGCGCCGTCTTTGGTGCCAGGACAGGCCGGAAGTGCACGCAGCGGGACATCTAGCCATGAGTCCGAATTTCCGCAGAAGCCTTCTGTGAATGCCCTGAGTGCGCACTGGACCGTCTGACTCCTGAATGCCGAAGTCGACGCAGCTCGGAACGATTGAGTTGTAAGCCCTCTGCTTCGGGCAGCGCCCCATCCTGGCGGGGGCGCGCACAGGCCGATGCCCAGAAGACCATCGTCGACGCTATGCAGGACGCGTGCGTGGGCTTTCGGGCCCTGGGAAGAGCCACCTGGGGTGGTTCCCCATGTCAGCTCATGAAGCGGAGCCCCCCTCCCTCTCCCCTTGCCCCTCATTCCTCCGTCCCGCGCCCCCCGCTCCCGTCTCAGTCCCCCTCCCCCCTGACCCCTCCCACCCCCTCGTACCCCCGCTGTCCGTTATCCGCTTTGGCTGCAGCCATTCAGGCATGAGTTGGTCGTGGCAGGGCGCCCGCGTGCGGCTTTCTCGATATGGCAAGTCTTGAAGTTCCCTTGATCGCCTCCTTCGCTCTCCCTGCTCGCCCCTTCGTCCTCCTGTGCGTTGGGCGCAATCGGATCGTGGCGCGAAGTTTTAAGTTCTCGACCTCGCATTCGCATCGCTACACGGTGCTGGCACAACTGAAGATTCACTGGCACTGGGCTGGAGTTGAGGCCGGCGAGGCACCGAGGGATGTGCCACAATCGCAGAAGAGATCGCGCCAGCGCCCATGCTCCAGGCAGTCTGTGTTACGCGGCGACGCAGAGGGAGAGAGGGAACGAGAAGCAAGCAGACGCTGGCGAACGCGCAGGCGGGAGGCCGGGGCTGGCGGGACAAAGTATGCGGGCGGACTGGCGAGGTGTAGGGCGAGAGCGCTGAAGCTGGAATCGATGAAGCCTCTTGCGGATCACGCCGCCCCCCGCTTTGTGGAGACACTTGTGTGGTCAAATGTCGGCCGATACTCCAGCCATGCTAGTGAGATGCGCGTTGCCCTAGTCGTTGAGGAAAACCAGGTGGGGTCCACTGGGGCCCTCGTGGGGCGTTTCGTGATCTTTTGAGGCTGAGGGGGCTTTTGAGCCATTGGCGCCTTCGGAGGCCGTCTCGGGGGCCTTTACAGGCCGTATTGGGGTTCTCTGAAGATCCTGTAGGGCAGTCCTAGGACCTTCAGAGCAGTCTGAGGGCTGTCTGGTGGACCTTGGGCCAGCTTAATCGTGGGACGTCTTGGGGCCGGCCAGGGTGCGCCTGGGAGCGCCTGGGAACACTTGGGAGCGCTTGAGCGCCTGGGAGAGCCGGGGAGCGCCCAGGAGCGCCACAGGGTGCTCCGCCGAAGGTTCCAGTAGCACCGTTCGCATGCGTCCCCGCCACGCATGCCTGCACACCCTTCACTCCTGTCGGTGCCCAATAGGGATCTCCACCGAAGGTCGGAGTGGCACCGTTCGCACGCGTGCCCGCCACCCATTTCGGCACACCCGTCACACGTTTCGCGGCCCCACAGGTAGCTACACCGAAGGTCCGAGTGGCACCGCTCGCACGCGTGCCCGCCGCGAATTTTGGCACACCCCTCGCACGGTGCGTGGCCCCTGAGTGAGTTCCACCCAGGGCCCCAGTGGCGTCTCTCGCATGCGTCCCCTGCACCCAGTACGGCTCACCGTCACGCCCTTCACACGTTCCGTGGCCCCATACGGAGCTCCACCGAAGGTCGCAGTGGCACCGTTCGCGTGCGTCTTCTGCACCCATGCTGACACACCCTTCACACGGTTCGGCGCTCCATCAGCAGCTCCACCGACGACGATTTTCACAACCGGTATTTTTTGTTTTCGGCTTGTGTATGGCCGTGGGCGCATCTTGGGCGTCAAGTGCGCTGGCTGGCATTTTCCGGTTTTCGGTTGGTGCCAGGCCGTGTGCGCTTCTTGGGCGCCCCGTGCGCTGGCTGGCAATTCCAGGCTACATAGCTTGCCCTACATGTTTTGGAAATCTGGCAGCTTGCACCACACATTCATTGCACCATACATACACTGCACCGTAGAGCTTGCATCACATAGCTTGCACCATATAGCCGATGTGCACCACACAGCTTGCCGTAGTAGGTTGCACTACGTAGCTCGCACCGCATAGCTTACTCTACACAGCTCTCACCATGCAGCTTGAACACTATAGCTTCCGCACCACGTAACTTGCACCACATACGTACGGCACCACATTGCTTGTATACTTTTCACAATCTAGCATACATGATGTAATTTGCACCATACAGCTTGCACCACATAGCTTTCACCACGTAGCTTTGACCACGAAGCCTGCAAAACATAGCCTGCACCACATCGCACATAGCTGACATCGCATAGCTTACAGCACATAGCTTGTAAACACGTAGCTTACATCACGAATGTATAACCACGTAATGTATACCACACACGTAGCTTGCACAACGTAGCTTGCACCGCAGAGCTACCCCCACACACAGTTTCCGCCCCACTGCTTGCACCGCGTATCTTGCATCGCGTAATTACCACACCATAATTCACACCACGCATATTGCATTATGTTGCTTGCACCGCATAGCTTAAACCACACAGTGTGCACCAGATAGCTTGTACCTCGCAGTTTCCATCACATAGCTTGCATCACAGTGCTTGCACCACGTACTTTGCACAGCGCAGCTTGCAGATCTAGAGTAAGACATTTCAGTTTTGGGTTCACGCTGGCAACCATGACGTGGGGATTTTTAGCGCCGTCCGCATATGCCGCCAGGGTTTCCGTTGGATATTTGCCCAGCTGTCTCCCCAGATCTTCACACCCAGATTTTCATTCAGAGTGTTCCAATTGTTTACAAGATCATCCTCCAAATCTTCCCCGATACGTTGTCCTAGATTCCTTCCCGGACTTTCCTCCAGATCTTTCCCAATATCTCCCTCGAGATCTTCCCCAAGATCTTCCGCCATTTGTTCCTCCTGACCTTCCTTTTGGATTTCTTCCACTTCTTCCTCATTTCGCTCCCCAGATCTTCCTCTAGTTTTCCAGATCTTCTTCCAGATCATCGTCCACATCTCTCCCCAGAGCTGCCTCCAGATGTGCCGCCCAATCCTGCTCCAGATATTCCCTCAATATATTTTCCGATATCTTCTTCCAGATTTCTCACGGTTCTTCCTTCATATAATTTGTCAGATATTTCCCTAGATCTTCACCCAGATTTTCACCCAGATCTTCACCAATTCTCTCCTCCAAATCTTCCCCCAGATCTTTCTCCAGATCTTCCTCCAGATCTTGCCCCAGATCTTCTCCAGACTCCAGATCTCCCCCCAAATCTTCACCCAGACTTTCCCCGAAATCTCTCCTCCAGATCTTCCCCCAGATCTCTCCTCCAGATCTTCCTCCAGATCTGCCCCCAGATCTTTGTCCAGATCTGCCCCCAGATCTTCACCCAGATCTTCGCCCAGATCTTTCCCAAGATCTCTCCTCCAGATCTTCCACCAGATGGTTTCTCCAGATCTTCCTCCAGATCTTCCTCCAGATCTTCAACCAGATCTTCACCCAGATCTTCGAGATCTCTCCTCCAGATGTGTCTTCAGATCTTCCTCCAGATCTTCCTCCAGATTTTTCCCAGATCTTCGCCCAGATCTTCACCCAGGTCTTCCCGAGATCTCTTCCCCCAGATCTTCCCTCAGATTTTCCCCCAGATCTTCCCGAGATCTCTTCCCTAGATCTTCCCTAGGTCTTCCCCAATCTTCCACCAGAATTCCCCCCAGATCTTGTCCAGATCTCCCCCCAGATATCCCCCAAGATCTTGCCCGATATCTCTCCTCTAGATTTTCCTCCAAATCTTCCTCCAGATATTACTCCAGATCTTCACCCAGATCTTCCCCTGGATCTTCACCCAGATCTTCACCCAGATCTTCACCCGGGTCTTCCTCGAGATCTCTCCTCTAGACCCCCCCAGATCTTCCACCAGATGCTTCTCCAGATCTTCCTCCAGATCTTCCCTCAGATCTTCTCCAAATCTTCGTCCAGATCTTCACCCGGATCTTCACCGGGGTCTTCCTCGAGATATCTCCTCTACCGTAGATATTCCCCAGATCTTTCTCCAGATCTTCCTGCAGATTTCCCGCCAGTCTTCGTCCATATCCCCCGACACATTTTTCTCCACATGTTCCTGCATATCGTGTTTCATGCATTGCTGCAGGGCCCCCGGACCCGCAATCGGCATCATCACCGGCGCAATCTTTATCAAAACCATCAACGCTGGCGCCGCGCTGCGCAAAGAAACTGCACGCTTCAAAGCTGGCTCTCGCAAGAGGGCTAAGAAATTCAGCGAAGCTGGACCTCAATTTCTTACCGGAAGATTTCTTAGCAAGTTTTGAATGTAGGGAGCTCCACTGCAGGTCCCAATGGCGCCGTTCGCATGCGTCCCCGCCGCCCATCTCGGCACACTCCTCACACGTTTCGTGGCCCCACAGGGAGCTACACCGAAGGTCCCAGTGGCACCGTTCGAATGCGTCCCCGCCACGCATGTCGTCGTACCCCTCGCACGGTGCGTGGCCCCTTAGTGAGCTCCACCCAGGGCCCCAGTGGCGTCTCTCGCATGCGTCCCCCGCACCCATTACGGCTCACCGTCACGCCGTTCACACGTTCCGTGGCCCCATAGGGAGCTCCACCGAAGGTCCGAGTGGCACCGTTCGCGTGCGTCTTCTGCACCCATGCGGACACACCCTTCTCACGATGCGTCGCTCCATCAGCAGCTCCACCGACGACGATTTTCACAACCGCGAACTCACAATTGCATATGGTATGGTTCTTCAGGAGTTTGTTTTTGTTTCCAACTATGTTTATTTGGCATATATATATATATATATCTCGCACCACGTAACTTGCACCACATACGTAGGGCACCACATTGCTTGTATACCTTTTTTGACAAGATAGCTTACATCACGTAACTTGCACTATATAGCTTGCACGACGTAGCTTTCACCACGTAGCTTTGACCACGTAACCTGCAACGCATAGCCTGCACCACATCGCGCATGGCTTACATCGCATAGCTTACAGCACATAGCTTGTAACACGTAGCTTACATCACGAATGTATAACCACGTAATGTATACCACACACGTAGCTTGCACAACGTAGCTTGCACCGCAGAGCTGCCCCCACACAGTTTCCGCCCCCACAGCTTGCACCGCGTACCTTGCATCACGTAGTTACCACACCATAACTCACACCACGCGTATTGCATGATGCTGCTTGCACCGCATAGCTTAGACCTCACAGTGTGCACCACATAGCTTGTACCACGCAGGTTCCATCACATAGCTTGCACCATATAGCCGATGTGCACCACACAGCTTGCCGTAGTAGGTTGTACTACGTAGCTTGCACCGCATATCTTACGCTACACAGCTCTCACCATGCAGCTTGAACACTATAGCTTTCGCACCACGTAACTTGCACCACATACGTATGGTACCACATTGCTTGTATACCTTTTTTGATCAGACAGCTTACATCACGTAACTTGCACTATATAGCTTGCACGACGTAGCTTTCACCACGTAGCTTTGACCACGTAACCTGCAACGCATAGCCTGCACCACATCGCACATGGCTTACATCGCATAGCTTACAGCACATAGCTTGTAACACGTAGCTTACATCACGAATGTATAACCACGTAATGTATACCACACACGTAGCTTGCACAACGTAGCTTGCACCGCAGAGCTGCCCCCCACACAGTTTCCGCCCCCACAGCTTGCACCGCGTATCTTGCATCACGTAACTACCACACCATAATTCACACCACGCGTATTGCATTATGCTGCTTGCACCGCATAGCTTAGACCACACAGTGTGCACCACATAGCTTGTACCACGCAGTTTCCATCACATAGCTTGCACCACAGTTCTTGCACCACGTACTTTGCACAGCGCAGCTTGCACATCTAGAGTAAGACATCTCAGTTTTGGGTTCACGCTGGCAACCATGACGTGGGGATCTTTAGCGCCGTCCGCATATGCCGCCAGGGTTTCCGTTGGATATTTGCCCAGCTGTCTCCCCAGATCTTCACACCCAGATTTTCATTACGATTTTTTTTTTTTTTTTTTTTTTTTTTTTTTTTTTTTTTTTTTTTTTTTTTTTTTTTTACAAGATCTTCCTCCAGATCTTCCCCGATACGTTGTCCTAGATTCCTTCCCGGACTGTCCCTCCAGATTTTCCGTCATTTGTTCCTCCTTACCTCATTTTGGATTTTTTTCCATCCCAGATCTTCCTCTAGGTTTCCAGATCTTCTTCCAGATCATCGTCCACATCTCTCCCCAGTGCTGCCTCAAGATGTGCCGCCCAATCCTGCTCCAGATACTCCCTAAACATATTTTCCGATATATTCTTCCTGATTTCCCCGCGGCTCTTCCTTCATATATTCTCTCAGATATTACCCTAGATCTTCACCCAGATCTTCACCGAGATCTCTCCTCCAAATCTTCCCCCAGATCTTCCTCCAGATCTTGCCCCAGATCTCCAGATCTCCCCCCAGATCTTCACCCAGACTTCCCCGAAATCTCTCCTCCAGATCTTCCCCCAGATCTCTCCTCCAGATCTTCCTCCAGATCCGCCCCCAGATCTGTGTCCAGATCTGCCCCCAGATCTTCACCCAGATCTTCGTCCCGATGTTTCCCCAGATCTCTCCTCCAGATCTTCCACCAGATGTTTCTCCAGATCTTCCCCCAGATCTTCCCCCAAATCTTCTCCAGATCTTCCTCCAGATCTTCAACCAGATATTCACACAGATCTTCGAGATCTCTCCTCCAGATGTATCTTCAGATGTCCTCCAGATCTTCCTCCAGTTTTTTCCCAGATCTTCGCCCAGATCTTCACCCAGATCTTCCCCGAGATCTCTTCCCCAGATCATCCCTCAGATTTTTCTTCCAATCTTCCAGATCTTTTCCAGATCCCCCCCAGAAATCCGCACAGATCTTGCCCGATATCTCTCCTCTAGATTTCCCTTTAAATCTTTCTCCAGATCTTTCTCCAGATATTACCCCAGATCTTCACCCAGATCTTCCCGTAGATCTTCACCCAGATCTTCACCCAGATCTTCACCTGGGTCTTCCTCGAGATCTCTCCTCTAGACCTCCCCCAGATCTTCCACCAGATGCTTCTCTAGATCTTCCTCCAGATCTTCCCCCAGATCTTCTCCAAATCTTCGTCCAGATCTTCACCCAGATCTTCACTGGGGTCTTCTTCGAGATATCTCTTCTACTGTAGATATTCCCCAGATCTTTCTCCAGATCTTCCTTCTGATTTCCCGCCGGTCTTCGTCCACATCCCCCGCCACATTGTTCTCCACATGTTCCTGCATGTTGTGTTTCATGCATTGCTGCAGGGCTCCCCGCCCCGCAATCGGCATCATCACCGGCGCAATCTTTATCAAAACCATCAACGCTGGCGCCGCGCTGCGCAAAGAAACTGCACGCTTCAAAGCTGGCTCTCGCAAGAGGGATAAGCAATTCAGCGAAGCTGGATCTCAATTTCTTACTGGAAGATTTCTTAGCATAAGTTTTGAGTGTAGGGAGCTCCACTGCAGATCCCAATGGCACCGTTCGCATGCGTCCCCGCCGCCCATCTCGGCACACTCCTCGCACGTTTCGTGGCCTCATAGGGAGCTCCACCGAAGGTCCGAGTGGCACCGTTCGCATGCGTCCCCGCCACGCATGTCGTCGCACCCCACGCACGTTTCGTGGCCTCATATGGAGCTCCACCGAAGGTCCGAGTGGCACCGTTCGCATGCGTGCCCGCCACCCATTTCGGCACACCCCTCACACGTTTCGTGGCCCCACAGAGAACTTCATCGAAGGTTCCATTGGCACCGTTCGCATGCATCCCCGCCACCCAGATAGGCACACACACACACACCCCACACGTGTCGTGGCCCCATGGGGGATTCCACCGCAGGTTCCACTGGCACCGTTCGCGTGCGTCCCCGCCACGCATGTCAGCACACCTCTAACACGTTTTGCGGCCCCAGAAGGAGCTACACCGAAGGTCCGAGTGGCATCGTTCGCACGCGTGCCCGCCACCCATTTCGGCACACCCCTCACACGTTTCGTGACCCCATAGGGGCTCCACCGAAGGTTCCAGTGGCACCGTTCGCACACGTCCCCGCCACCCATGTGGGCACACCCTTCACACGTTTCGTGGCCTCATAGGGAGGTCCACCGAAGGTCCGAGTGGCACCGTTTGCATGCGTGCCCGCCGCCGATTTCGGCACACCCCTCACACGTTCCGTGGCCCAGCAGAGAACTTCATCGAAGGTTCCATAGGCACCGTTCGCATGCATCCTGGCCACCCATAGAGGCACACACACACACACACCCACACGTGTCGTGGCCCCACAGGGTGCTCCACCGAAGGTTCCAGTAGCACCGTTCGCATGCGTCCCCGCCACGCATGCCGGCACACCCCTCACACGTGTCGTGGCCCAATAGGGATCTCCACCGAAGGTCTGAGTGGCATCGTTCGCACGCGTGCTCGCCACCCATTTCGGCACACCCCTCGCATTTTTCGCGGCCCCACAGGGAGCTCCACCGAAGGTCCCAGTGGCACCGCTTGCATGCGTGCCCGCCACCCATGTCGGCACACCCCTCGCACGGTGCGTGGTCCTTTAGTGAGCTCCACCCAGGCCCAAGTGGCGTCTCTCGCATGCGTCCCCCGCACCCGTTACGGCTTACCGTCACGCCCTTCACACGTTCCATGGCCCCATAGGGAGCTTCACCGAAGGTCGCAGTGGCACCGTTCGCGTGCGTCTTCTGCATCCATGCTGACACACCCTTCACACGGTTCGTCGCTCCATAAGCTTCACCGACGACGACTTTCACAACCGCGAACTCACAATTGCATATGGTATTTTCTTCAGCAAGGTATTGTTTTAGTTTTCGGCTTGTGCATGGCCGTGGGCGCATCTTGGGCGTCCAGTGCGCTGGCTGGCATGTTTTGGCTTTCGGTTGGTGCCAGGCCGTGTGCGCTTCTTGGGCGCCCCGTGCGCTGGCTGGCAATTCCAGGCTACATAGCTTGCCCTACATGTTTGGGAAATCTGGCAGCTTGCACCACACATTCATTGCACCATACATACACTGCACCGTAGAGCTTGCATCACATAGCTTGCACCATATAGCCGATGTGCACCACACAGCTTGCCGTAGTAGGTTGCACTACGTAGCTCGCACCGCATAGCTTACTCTACACAGCTCTCACCATGCAGCTTGAACACTATAGCTTCCGCACCACGTAACTTGCACCACATACGCATGGCACCACATTGCTTGTATACTTTTGTCACACGATAGCTTACATCACGTAACTTTCACCATATAGCTTGCACGACATAGCTTTCACCACGTAGCTGTGACCACGTAGCCTGCAGCACATAGCCTGCACCACATCGCACATAGCTTACATCTCATAGCTTACAGCATATAGCTTGTAACACGTAGCTTACATCACGAAAGTATAAGCACGTAAGGTATAACACACACACATAACTTGCACAACGTAGCTTGCACCGCAGAGCTACCCCCACACAGTTTCCGCCCCACAGCTTGCACCGCGTATCTTGCATCACGTAACTACCACACCATAATTCACAGCACGCATATTGCATTATGCTGCTTGCACCGCATAGCTTAGACCACGCAGTGTGCACCACATAGCTTGTACCACGCAGTTTCCATCACATAGCTTGCACCACAGTGCTTGCACCACGTACTTTGCACAGCGCAGCTTGCACATCTAGAGTAAGACATCTCAGTTTTGGGTTCACGCTGGCAACCATGACGTGGGGATCATTAGCGCCGTCCGCATATGCCGCGCCGCCAGTTCAAAAACACGCTCGCATGTGGGCAGATTCGCGAACACGTTTGTTCATGTACGCGTCTTCTCCTAGCCTCTTCATCCTGCGTGTCCAGTTGCGTGGGGTGGGCGCTCGCAGCCAGTTTCGGTCCTAGGCAAGAGCACCTTGGCCAAAGTGGGGAACTGCTTTTGCACGTTCGTTCTTCCAGTGATCGCAACCCAATGCAGCCTCGCAATGTCGCCGCGCTGCTGATCTTTATAGCAGCTCCTTCCGCTATGGCAGAGCTGCCTCCAAAACGCATGTCCCATCCGGTGACCGTGATAACCCCAACGAGTGATCACACAAGCCTGGACGAGGCAGCCAACGCCAGCGGAGTAGCTCTGATGCAGCAGGGCATGGGACTGACACCCAAGCCAAGGCTGATATCCAATAGTTGCTGCCGCATAGCAAGCCTAGTGATGTGCGTCCTCCTGATCGTTTTCGGCACGCACGTCACGTGGCGCCCCCTTGTGCAGTGGCGCTCGCTCAAGACCTGGCCCTCGACGTTGATCGCTGGAGGCACTGGGGCCTACAAAATTACGCATTGTTCATGTCTAATTCTTCGAACATTCCTTGTTTTTTTGGGGGGCCAAGATCCTTTCATTTCTAATTGTTCCATCCTCGGCCTCTTCCTGGCCACTGGGTGGCCAGGAACAATTAGAAACGAGCACAATTAGAAATGAACGACGTGTAAGTAGGCTCGTTTGTGGCACAGAGGAAGGGGGTTGCGAGAGAAGGGCAGCGAGTTGCCAGATGGTCTCCTGCGTGATGGGAACCCACGCCACTGCCATCGCGATAGTGACGCCACCAACCCCGAACTGCCACGACAAGTTTTTCTTTTCTCTAGATGCCCCGAATCGAGTCGATTTGCAAGGGGCCTCGAGGTCCAGCACTGCTACACTCTGGGGAACCACTCTCGGGCGCCCGTAGAGGGGAGTTAACCTAAGGTTGGGTCAAGTAGCGAACCTGCCTGGAAACCGAGTTTTCCTCCATCCAGGGGCCGTGACGAGTGCGTTTCCTCAAAATCCCACCTTTTGGCCCCTACCCCACTTTTCTACACACCTGATGCCCTTGACTTCGCCCACAGCCTTGTCCCGCGCTGGGCGTTCGTCGCCGCCTGTCTGAGGTTCTCCCCCAGAACTTTCCACGGGTGCCATGGTCAAACGACCCCCCAGTTACACCTTGGACGCCCAAGTGGGTCGAGGTGGAGTTCGATGCATCGGCGATGTGGCTCGATATGCTTTATCTCGACGTCGACGATGCATCGCCGATGCGGCGCGATCCTCCGACCCCATCTACTCGGACCCTATTTTGGCGGCCTCCAGTTGCACCCTGGACGAAGGCGGTTCTTTGGGACTGGCGTTTCCCAGGGTGCTGGGGCCCTCGGAGAAAGCTTCGGGACCGAACTCGTCCCCCCCCTCTTCAAACTCCTCGCCCCCTCCTCGGCCTGGGACGGGGAGAATGGATGCCCGCGCCGACCACCCCGAAGCACGCTACCCCCAGACGCGTCCGCGTGCTCCGCCCGTCCTGCCCTGGCCGTGCCCCCGGTCGCAGGCACCGGGCCCGCGGGCCCGGACGGCGCTGCCGCCGTGCCCAGCGCGCACCGCAGCCCTGGCGCGCTGGGCCTGCGGCGCGGCGTGGCGCTGTCGAGGACGACACCTCCTCCTCCTCCCCCTCTCCTCCTCCTCCTCCTCCTCCTCCCCTCCCCCTCCTCCTCCTCCTCCTCCTCCTCCTCCTCCTCCTCCTCCTCCTCCTCCTCCTCCTCCTCCTCCTCCTCCTCCTCCTCCTCCTCCCCTTCCTCCTCCTCCTCCTCCTCCCTCCTCCTCCTCCTCTCCTCCTCCTTCCTCCCTCCTCCTCCTCTCCTCCTCCTTCCTCCTTCTCCTCCTCGGCGGCGGCGAGCGGCGAGCGGCGACGGTGGCGGCGACGGCGCGGCGAGGGCGGCGGCGGCGGCGGGCAGAGGCCTTCCTGAAGCCGCGGGCGCGGCGGACTGCCGTGCCCCGAGCGGGTCGTCCCGTGGTCCGGCTCCTGCGCGGCGGCTGGCCTCGGGAGCGCCAGGCCCCCGGGGCTCTGTCAGGCCCAGCAGGGTTTTTTCCTGGGCGCGCTGGGGTGTCGGTTTGTCGAAGCGCCCGCTTATACGGGGCCCCGGGGGAGGATCGGCCGCCGAGGCTGAGCTGAGCCTGGCCCTCCTCCTCCTTCTCCCCCCCTTCCCCGTCTCCTCCTCCTCCTCCTCCTCCTCCTCGTTTTGCTCCTCCATTTCTTCATCTTATACCTAATTACATCTCCATTTGGAGGACTTGGCCTGTCGGCTGACCTGAGGTGTAAGGACGGCAGGGCGCGCGGCGATCCCCAAACTCGGGATGCAGTCCAGAAGCGCATCCATTCAACAAATCATTCGCCCCTCATCGTGACGGGGGCGGTGAATGGGGAAGCGGGGCCTAGCAAAGCAACCCAGGTAGCGAAGGACTCCAGAGAACACGCTTCAAGCGGGGTCAATCCGCAAGCTTTCTGGAGATTGAGTGTGTCTCGGAGGGTCTTGCCCTCGGGATGGGCCTGCCTTCAGGAGGAGGAGGAGGCATCATGAGCAGGCGGAAGACCGTGGTCCGTTCAATCTTGGAAGATATTCGCACTCGGGGTTCCTAAGACCTACACTGCCAGACTTCCCGAGTTCCATAACTTGAAGTTTTAATGTCAGACTTTTGCCCAGTCGATCGTATGTTTCACTTGATCTTTAGTGCTGCACAGGGGAAAGGGGACACGACTAGGAAAAGGGAGGGACCCCCTGCGTGCTGAGGAGTGGAAGCGAGGAGGAAGAGAAGAAGTGTGAGATAAGGGAGGGAGGGGGATGGTGGAGGGGTCGGAGGGAGGATCGAGGGGGAGGGAGGAGGAGGAGGAGCAGGAGGAGGAGGAGGAGGCAGGAGGAGCAGGAGGGGGAGGAGCAGGAGCAGGAGGAGGTTGAGAAGGGTGCGAAGGATGATGATGAGGAGAGGAGCAGGAGGAGGGGTAGGAGACGGAGCAAGACGCGCATGATGAGAAGGATGAGGAGTGGGATGATGATGATGACGATGGCTATGACGATGACGATGACTATTATGATGCTGATGATGGTGATGCTGCTGATGATGATGCGGCTGGTGATGATGATGACTATGACGATGATGATGATGGTGATGGTGATGGTGATAATGCAGATGCTGATGCTGCTGATGACGATGATGATGACGGCGCTGACACTGATGATATGAATACCGATGATGACGATCATGATGGCACTGATGACGGAGACGATGCCGATGCTGATGCTGATGCTGATTATGATGATGCAGATGATGAGGACCATGCTGATGAGGATGAAGCTAATGAGGATGATGACGATGATGCTGATGATGAGGTTGAAGGTGATGATGGTGATGATGGTGATGATGATGACGATGCTCATGATGATGATTCTGATGCTGGTGGTGATGATGCTGGTGCTGATGCGGACGGTGAGGATGGGGATGAGGATGACGTTGATACTGAGGATCATGCTGCTGCTGTTGCTGTTGCTGCTGCTGATGAAGGTTCTGATGATGCTGATGAGGATTATGATTATGATGAAAATGATGATGCTGCTGCTGCTGATGATGATGATGCTTGTGATGATGATGCTTATGATGGTTATGCTGCTGATGATGATGATGGTGATGAGGAATATGATAGTGATGAGGGCGAGGATGATGATAAAGATGAGACTGAGGCTGCGGCTGAGGCTGATGATGATGATGAGGATGATGATGATGAGTTTTCATTTCTGAATAACAATCAATGTCGATCCCCCCTCCGGTAATCATTTCATTTTTCCGTTAACGTGCTTCTCCCGAGACTCGCACCCTGTTTTTTACTTGGGGAAGTCGGGGTCACCAAACTGCGCTCCTGGCCCGTGTTTACAACAACAGCGGCTCTCGCCTGATATTTTCTTTCTTTTCAGTTTATTACCAAATCGCACTCTCGCGCGGGACGCCCTCACAATTTATACAGGAATCGCGCTCTCGCGTGGGACTTCCTCGCAATTTGTTCAGACGCTGCGCCCTCGACACTCAGGAATCACGCCCTCCTTTTTGGGTTTCCTGACGATTTCTGGGGAATCGCGCTGTCGCTCGAGACTTCCTCGCGATTCATGCAGGTCGCACGCTTCAGTAACCCGCCTGCTCGACCTGGCCGCCCGGGCCCGCCTCCGACCCGCCCGTGAGGCTCTG